AATGGGTTCAATATAACACATAATGGCTTCCCACATCCATTAAAGAAATTTTACCCCAATTATATTAAGAGTCCATCTTATTTTTGCTTTGTTAGGCCTTTGGTAGTTAAGGACTACTAGCCAATCACTACACCAGTCTGTTTGAGGCAGGTTAGGGTTGTGATAACAAGAGCATTTTCTGAGTAAATAACTTCATTTCAATCTGAAAAGTCTTATTCGACGTAACCTACTTTGACATCAGCCAAGTAGCTTTCTTGTGACGTGTCTCAAGGATCTTGGAATATGCCATCCGGATCCATGGGATCTAGAAGCATATTCCAAGCCCTAATTGCATATAAAACCACCCTCCCTGTTGAAGAAAAAGGGTTCAAACATTTTAATTAACATCCCTAATCTCTAATTCCCTCTAATCACTCACTCTAATACTTAATCAAATACACTAAAAAAAAGAGAGTTTGGTGAGAATTTTGGACTACTTTCTACATACCTTTGCTTCGATGACTTGGAGTTAGAAGACCTCAATTGATCAGAGAGAGCTCGAGTGAGAGCTTATGATCAGTTGGGCCCCTATCTCTACTTGTCTAGAGGTCATCCCTACTTCTATTCACGTATTTTCATTCTAAATCTATCTCTTGATTCCATTTTTAGCAATCTTTGGGATTTTTGATTGATTTATTGCAAGCTTAGTTGGTTTCTCTTATTCTTCCCCATTTCTATAGTTGGTGGAAACCTGTATAGTGGTTTTGTGTAACGCCCTCAAAATAAACCCATTATATATTTATCATTGGCATGCAACATTTAAAGAAAACAATTCATTATCTCATTCATCAGAATATTACTAAATAAAAGCATTACATGTAACATCAAATTAAATGCCCTACGGGCTTACATCTTTCCAAGCCAACACTTGGACACAAAAATATGAGTTCTAACTCAAATACAAATAAAGCCCTAGGCTTGTGTGTTTACATGTACTAACAAATGAAAGCAAATAACTGAAAATAATCTTCAAAATCCAAGTCCTTCCAAGCTATGTCCTTGGAGGTAGCTTATCACCTGAACCTGAAAATGATGTTCCCATATAGGGTGAGCCACAGCCCAGTAGAAATATACTAAACCAAATATAAGCATTGAATAAAGCAATAGCATTCAATAGATGGTTAACCAAGATAATCAATTACATCATTATACAGTCTCATGACACTAATGTCTAAGACACATTTCACTTTCCATTATTATCAACATGGCTCAGAACCTGGCCAAACTTACAACAGTGAACTATATATATCATATTCACATTCTTCCAATGTCAACAAACAAATGAGACTCAAGCTCAAATCAAAACACTTCATACTTCCAGATTGATACACATTTTAGTGCTGTATCAATAAAAACACTTCAATATAATAAGCACACATAAAAGTGATGCTAATGGAGTCCATCCCCTATCTCCTCCCAAACAAATCCGGTTTAGAGGTCCATCCCCTATCTTCCCCTAAACCGTGGAGTACATCCCCTATCTCCTCCCAAACAACATGCATATACAATGTATTAAACACTTGTCATATACAATACACAATCAATACATGTATTTTCTGTATTAACTCAACAGTCTAAATCAATGACTTAACCAATGTGAGTAGTTTCAGTTTTTCCCTAATCCACATGTAATGTCTACTACAATCATGACTATCCTCCACCGATAGCCCAAAACAGTTATTTCTAAACAGGAAATAGATGTATCAACTAACATAATTCCAACATTTTCATAGGTGAATGATTAAACTACCAACTACACCACTTAATCAATAAATTCATTAATTCCATGAATTCAACTAAATTTCCTAATTTTCCCTAAATTAATTATATAAATTAATTTATTACAACAACTAGGGTTTTTCCCAAAATTACCAAACAACCCCCAACATATCAAAATACCAAAACTTAGAACAAAACCTATAATATGGAGTAGGAAATCCCTACCTCGAAGCGAAGAACTCGAATGGAGAAGATGACAAAAAACCAAAGTGCTCCAAATCAAAGATTGTTCAGATTAAACGGAAGCCCTTGACCCACTCTATCTTTTTAAGAAAGGACTTAGGGTAGAAATACACTCTAAGTAGATCAAACCTAAGAGAGAAGGTGTGTAGGGGGAGGGAGAAGACGGTTCTAGGGTTTTAGAATCAAAAGGGAGATGAAAAATGATCTAGAAAGTCGGGTCTCGGATTTTTATAGCAGTCACCCCGCTCGAGCGTGGAAACCCCCACTCGAGCGCCACTCACAGACTCCCGCTCGAGCGTCCAAACTCCCGCTCGAGCGGCGGATGCACACTCCCAGAAGTTTTTGTAGACAGGTCCCGCCTCGAGCGCCCAACTCGCCGCTCGAACGTCACTCACAACATCCCGCTCTAGCGGCCAATTCCCCGCTCGAGCGTCCAACACTACACAGGACATACTGGATGGGTGTATTCCCCGCTCGAGCGCCCAAACCCCCGCTCGAGCGGACAAGCCAAAATCTGGGCAACTAGACTTGGTTCCTAAGCTCAACCAACCTGAGACTCAATATAAGGATTAAAGGATGTAAACAAGGCACATACAACAACCAACTCCACGGAACCTAAGTCCGGGTACAATAGTTAAAGAAAAAGGGAAACCGGGATCGCTATATTTTGGCTAAGCCCGAAGTGCTTTCTTTTTTTATTATACGGGTTACAAACCCAGGCACGGTTTCCTCTATGATAAGGGATATATTATCATTATAGTTTTTGCCCTTTTTACCATTTTCACTAATTTTGATGATGTACAAGCCCAAATAGAACTTTCCCTGCGAGAATAAGTTGGATCTCCCATCTTACTACCATTTCTCATAGATTTAGATAGTTTATACTCATTTTCATGTAAGAGAGAGAGAACCTCCCTATCCTTGTTAGAGTTTCCTTTATTTTTGTCACATCATTTTCTTAGCGCATTATACCATTGTGCGCATTGGAATGGGTTTCTCTTCCCATTACCCTAAATCACAACTCTTTTACTCTTTAGCTTAGACTCGTTTTTATCATCATAATCGCATGATTAGTATAAGAGCACGCATTTGGGCTTGGACCATTATTTTTAGATTAGTTATGTGGTGTGCACTTCATTGATACTCATGTCATCTTGATAGTGTCCAAAGCCCCTAGGACTCACAGTGTGCGGATTTTTGCATTACATATCACATCTAGGATCATGCATTCTTTTGCTTAAATTATTTTCTATTTTCGCTTGGCTAGAGTACCCTATGAGCATCCCTAATCTTTTCTTTACATATCATTTAGTTTAGCATCTAGGATCATGTATTGTTTTCTAACCCTTTACGCTCTTGGCATGGTGCAGAGGAGTACCAGGTGAGCTTCTTTTATTTTTGTATCCTACTTGTGATTGCTTCTTATTATGTCTAGCATGCTACCATAAGGCTATGTGCTTATTTGCTATATCTCTATGACTGCTCATTGTATGGAGGTTTCATTGCCTAAATTAGAATTGTTTTGATCTCCTCGCATGGCAGATTTCTTGACTTTTCATTAGATTTCTGTTTTTCAAACTCTTTTCAAAATAGTAAGAAATTAGAATATTCTAATGTAGGTGATTTGGTCTATACTTGTCTTCTCCATATAGTAAAGATAGCAACAATAAATGGATTATATGATCATATCATGTTAATAATTCTCATATCATAGATTAATAGAGGTCGATCTTTGATTGGATGAGCAGGGGTACTCAATTCATGACATTTCCTCCTCATACCTAAGTTCTCAAGCCGAGACACTTTGGTTATGATGAATCATGGTCTTTTGGCATGAGTTATGGGTTTTCTAGTTTTCCTCAAAAGATTAGGTAGCGACTCTGAGTTTGGTAATTTAGTCCATTTTTTGGCATTTATTATGATTAGCAATTTTTTTTTTTTATGGATTTTTCAAATTTGGACTCTCATTCTGTTCCACATTGTACTTATGGAACCAGATTGAGGGTACAAACTATCGAGCGCGCTTAAACCCCCCTGGTCTGGGAGATTCTTCAATTTTTGGCGCCGTCACTGGGGATAACTAAGAGAGCTTGACTCGAAAATTTCGATATGAGATTTATTAACATTGAGATATGTTCATTGCATTTGCATTAGTTCGCTCAAACCCTTCGCATTCATCACCTGTCACTCCTGGACAACTTGCTTTATAGGATGACTCGCTGACATGGGCTTTGTCAAGTTGGGAATGGAAACCCTTGGATCTTGATCATCGGTTACTATTTGATACTCCTTTCTGTAGACGTCCCCGAACGCCCCGGGAGGAACGAGTCCCCCGTTCCGTTCGATATTGGGCTCACTACAGTTCGGACTCTCAATTTGTCACGGTTCTAAGTCTGAACCAAAGAGTCCAAATCCGGCAAATCGTTTTGAGAAAATAGATTTTGAAAGAAGTGCCAAACATGGACTGCTTTGCCAGATACAGAGTCGCCACCTAAATATTTTATTTTGGGGAAATTTAGGAAACCTTGACTCGTTTGCCTAAGGCCACGTGTCCGTCATCACCAGAGTTGCCTCGGCTCGGGAACTTGGGTACGATTGGCAAAGGTCACTTCGTGAGCACTCCCGCTCGCCCGATCAAAGATCGGCCTCTACTAACCATGATATCTATTTTTGAAAACATTATGCGTTCTTGTTGCTTGTGCTAATAGTTGTGGTGAGTTTAAATTTCTTTAGCAAGCCCTCTTGCTTTGCCATGATCAAGTTCTCCTCGGACATAATAACTTCAAAGTGTACGGTGGTGTCATCGTTGTGCTCTCTGTAATCCTGCAACCATTAAAATCTATCGTGAGACTCCAAACACCTCACATACTACAACTTAATAATATACTACGAAATCAGTTCAAGAAATCAAACTTAATTATACCTTGATAAATGGGTCCTTGATTTTATCATTTCCTGTCATAATTGATTCAAGAAATTCTTTATAATCTTGAGTAGGACAGATGAATGTGTACGGTGGAAAATTTGTAGAGAACATATATTTATTGTAAATTTTGGCTTTTCTTCAGGGAATTAAAGTATGAACATTTCTTTTTATAGGTCTTTCAATTTCATGTCTATAAGGATTGAGTAATGGTGGTGAGTCAATATGTTTTTTATGAGAGTTTACTATAACAAGATGATGTGTTTCAGGTAAGAATTTGCAGCAGTCTGGTAATTCCCGAGATTCTTTAGCAGCAAATGAAATAGCACTACTACAAAAACAGAAACCCCTTTCCTGTGCTGGCCTTGTAAATACACATCTTATATGAAATATCTTTTATACATGAAAAACGTGCTTAGAGCCTTAGACTTTGTTGTATTAATATTTGGTGAAATCCCTGATATCTACCTACTTACAAATTTGCAGATGCAAGAAATTTATGGGGCTTCTTGTTACTTCATTGAGGCAGAGAGTATGAACAAGAAAAAATGTCTGTAAGTTATTTCTTGCTAATTTTGGTGTTTTGGCTAGTTTACTTGCTGATTGTAGCTCATAGTAATTGCTTTTGTTCCCTTACACAGCATCTCTTTTATGCATGATGCAATTTGTTTCTATGAAAGAGATTCTGTAATCTATATTCTTTGAATAATTTATACAGAAGATTCATTATGGTTCAAGCATTTCTTGTTTACACATTTAATTGAGAAGTAGTTGATCATATTCATGAATTTATAGAAGGCCATATAGGGACAATTCGACATGGTAATCCAATGCTTATACTTTGTTTTGTCTGGGACCACAAACATGGTGTTACCTTAGTGGGAAATGATGTAGATGGCTTCTAAATTTGAGTATTATTGCATTAGTCCTTGCATCATATATATAGTGTGTATTATATTTTTCAAATGCGCGTACAAAAATAATATTGATTATTTTTCAAATATGTT